TACAAACACACAGTAAATCCTGTGAAGCGCTTTGAGACGTCTTCCCAATGTGAAAGCCACTGTATCAAATTAATGTGGGTCACATCCAAGTTTCAGCACCAGAGCAACAGCTGATGATGTGCGTCCCACAGATACCACTGAATGCAAGGATGCTTCAGTAAAAGTAATCAATATTTTTGAATCTCCCTAATTGATTGAGAGTATTTTGCAACTACTCTGGTGTCCATTTCGGTATACATACATTAACTTGATCAGGAAACACACATGTTACATGGAAACGTATGTGGCCACTCAAATATCTCAGTTCCAATGTGTGCCGGACTAATAAATAATACTGTACCTCAATATTTGTTCTGCCTCTCCAACTGCTGCTATATAATGTACCACTTTTAGCACTTATGTACTATGCCAAAGGCATTGGCTGTACTCTGCTTAAAGGTGATAAACTGGACATACATAGGCTGTTTCCACTTGTTAGCAAGTTCATCACGGAGGAGTGTGGGGAGGCACCAGAAAATCTAAAAGAAAGTTTAGGAGACACTTCTCTATATAGACGGCGGTGAGAATGACAAACTCATTGCCAGAAGCCGTAGTTGAACAATAACTTAATAATAATTCTTCCATTTGGTACAGCGCCTTATCAAGTTGGAAGGATGTTACAAAGTGCTTCACAGGGTTTACTGTGAAATGGAGTGATTGTAGGCAAACACAGCAGCACAATTGCACACAGCAATGTTCCACAAATAGCCATGAAACGAATGATCAATTTTATTTGTGCATTTAAGAGGAAACGAGATACATGTATGAGGAAGAAGAGAATAGAGGGATATAGGAGGGGACTAGGGTTTGGAAAACACTGACTAGTATGGCTGAGTGGCCTGTTTCAGGCTGAAATCGGTAGTCAATTTGCATGGAGCAGTATTCCACAAACAGCCAAGAAGTGAATGATCAATTTTATCTCGGGGAATTGCTGGGTATGGATTCCATTCAATCCATTATTCAACTGTGCTCCTGTGAGGTGGTGCCGTAATGAGGAAGTGCAGTTGTTAATGTGTAGGGTAGCAATCAGCACCGGCTGCTTTTCCACTGAATGAATAGCTTTTAATTCTGAAATCTAAATGACTATTATCAATTTACACATTTACACACAGGCTTTAAAAGTAGCAAGTAAAATGAATTAGACAAAAGTAGACAAAAACGTTTTAGTGATGATTTTGTTTTTCTTCACGGTACAGAAATAAACAAAACGTTAAGATGATCAGGCAGGTCTGCTCTATTATAATATTCCTTGCATTTGATATAGCACCTTATCACATTGTTGAGGCATCTCAAAGAGCTTCACATACTGTAAATTGAATTTGTTGTTGTTGAATTGACTATATATTTTGTGGGAGAAACGCTTTCTCTCTCTCTCTCTCTCTATTGGCCTGATTTTGCTCTCTTTGTGGGTGTGGAGGGGGAGAGAAGAAATAATCACTTATTAAAAAAAATCCAACTGGTATGCTTCCCATGCGTTGTATTGCAGTCAGGATATGAAAATGCTGCGACAGCTTTGCAATGGGAATTTGTATTTCAGCACTTATTAATTCTTTCAAGTTTATAATAGGATCTGCTTTCTTATAGTGGGCGACTCAAAAGATTAAAAACAGAGTCCAGGAACAGGAAAAGGTTACTTACTCGACCTTTAATGGTAGGTGTATTTTGTATCACAAACCTATGTTTCTTATTTTGTGCCTCAAAGGAACCAGATTATTCAAAGTGTGACATATTCCAGGCCATCTGATCTCTTCTTCCTGGAATGTTAGATTACTGCGATCACACAAGTCTCTCAGATTCCTTAATCACTCACAAAACACACAGTCACACCATTTGACCTGTGAAGTGCTTTGAGACGTCTCGATGACGTGATAAGGCGCTAAATCAAATGCAAAGTATATTATTTATTACCTACCCCTACAGTAATGTAAGCAGAAAGTGTCCCTCCGGGGAGAGAGCGCGCATTCCATTCCAACAATTTCTCTCTGGGATTTCCATGTGTAGTTGGGATGCATAGAATTCTAAGCTTGTTTTGGATACTCTTAAGCATGGTTCTGCATGTGCCAGACATCTGGCTGACCCCAAAAATGTAAACGGGACAATTCCTGTCGCTGCAACATCTCAGGTCTGTTTTGGAGAAAGATTGGAGATCACAAGATTGGTTTGGATGAAGGAGGCCCTTTGGCCCATCCAATCTCATCCTTCCAGAACATCCACCCTACTATTCTCCCCCATCAAATCAAACATTTTTTTTATAAATGTGACCAGTGTCCTGTTCTCAACCACCCTTCCTGACAAACCTGTTCTCGTCTTTAAATATGCTCTGGGTAAAGAAAAAATTCTCACCGTCTATGCTGAAATTGCCCTTTGCAACTTTGAACCCATGATCTCTTGCTCTGTTGTCTTGGTGAATCCTAATGTAGCTAATTTGCCTCAGGCTAAAATGAAAAGTCATTCTGAGTGTCTTTAACACATCTTGTTTCATCGTGCAAGCAGTGTGATGGTGTTGGATGGGTTGCACATATTTAAAAATGTTAGCAGATTATTTTCCCCATCGCCATTACCAAACAACAATAGCGGAATCAGGTAAAACGGATGGAACCAAAGTTGCCTTACATTCAGGCATAGCTCCCAAACCCTCCTTTGCCTCTTGTTTGGTAGCAGTAATCACGAAAATAAATATCTAAGTGCTCTTGCAATGCATCTGATGTCATCGCACCACTTACTTACTTGCTTCCCCACTGGATGTGAGGCCAAGTCTACAAGTGTAAAAGGGTGGGTGCAGAAAAAAATGTTCCCTGTACTTTGGTGTGCTAACCCTTGCCTACCAGTCTTTGCCTGCCAGCAGACAATTGTAGAGGTTGTTTCAGGTCTAACTCCTGTATCTGCTGATGTAGTAAAATACAAGAGGGCTAAGCCAAGTTTCTGTTTACATATGTCATACACAAGAGATTGCATATGGGGGAAAAAAAGAGGTTTGCAAAATGAATAACGCAATAGGATGCAACAGAACTGTAGCAAGGACTTGCATCACAAAGGTGATTGGGGTCAGACAGTTGTGGAGGTTAGTGCTAGGCTATAATAATAATAATCCTTGCATTTGATATGGTGCTTTTACACCTTCTAGATGTCTCAAAGCACTTCACAGAATATACTGTAAAGTGAATTGACTGTATTTGTGGGTGAAATGTGGTAGCCAATTGCGCACAGCAGTGTCCCACAAACAGTCGTGGATTGAAATGACCAATTTATTATTGTTTTTTTTTCTTGAGGGATTATTATTAGGTGTGTGGAGTAAGGAAACTTGCCCAAGATTTTGCCCTCCCGGGAATCAAACCCAGGTCTCTCGCTTGCGAGGCGAGTGCACTAACCACTGAGAAGCGCTTTGAGATGTCTCGAGAAGTGATTAGGCACCATATCAAATGCAAGTTTAGTATTATATGTTGAGGTCAAAGAGTTCCAGGTGATGGAGGGGGATGAGAGCAAGAGAATGGTATTGGGCAAACAAAATTTTTGAAAGATGAATGAATATCAAAATCCTTAAAGTTCTTTAATTTTTAAACTACAGAGAATTTTTCATGCAATCCACCACAAGGAAATTATCATAGACCCTATTGCAATATTTCACTCGCCTTGCAAGTCCCTCATCATGAAATTGGCAATGCTCTTGCATGCAATATTTTCTGGCATTATTTTGACCTTCAAATACCTCAGAAAACCACTGCCTCTTTCGCTCTTTTAGTCCCACCTGAAAACCTACCTTTTTGACTACGCCTATGATCACCACCTCTCCCCTTCTCAGCGTCCAAACCCTCTACTGTACAGCATTCCAAGACATTATCCTATATGAAGTGCATTACTACATAAATGTTTTTGTTTTTCAAATATCCTTGTGAAGCGTCCTGTCTTTTATATTTGCTGACTGGAATCTTGTTTTTCTTATCCAGTGGAGGAGTTGTCAACATATTTTTAGCAGGCATGTTGCTTCATGCATGCTGCTCTTCATGAGTGTTCTTCAATGACAGATGGGGTGTAAAACGTAGAAAACTCAGCAGGATTTCAGTTAATTTATTAATTTGAGTTGATTTGGGATGATGCAGAATTTGTAACTATTGAATCCTACAAGCAACTGACCATTTTAGATCACAGCATGTTATAAAGTCAACCTATGAGGGAGTAGTGCACAAGACACCTTAAGTATTTACTGAAAAGGCCCTTCTCTCAACCCATTTAGTGTCAGCATGAAACACCTATTGGTAGTTTGCCAGCAAAACTGATTTACACACTTCCCAGGAAGAGACATAATGCAACATAAAGCAACTTAGGACAAAAAAATTGACCCGTGTCTTGACCTGCATGAGGACATCTCTTCAATAATTCCTAATTGTTCTTTTGGTGTTTGAAGCTGTGTAGTAAAGCCTGCAGTATCTATTATTACAAAAAAACTCTGCTCTTTCAGCTCGTTATCATTGTCATTACCTCAAAGTGCTTCACAAGCACAGGAGAGCCCCTTTAATGTGGGAGCTGAGGCCCATAAAATTGATTGGCCGACTTCCTGCTGAAGAGGTCACACCTGACATCAACTTCTGTGTGGGAGTGCCATTGGTATAACCTAATGACCTGAAAGTTTGCTTTTTTTTTTAAACGAGTAGCAAGCTGGATGTGGGAATATTTAAGTGTTTGCTATTGATAGCACTGTCTAGCAAGCCTCTGTGCTTGGCCAGCTGGGAGCATTGTACCTTGTTAGGGCTTTGGCTTGCATGGTCAACAGGCGCCAAGTGGGAAGAATCCCAGTGTCCCAAGTGACTGTTTTGCCCTTTGTAAGTCGTGCCAATGAGCCAGACTGGCTGGTCTGTCATCAGTAGTGCCCAGGAGTATTGCGGACCCACCCTGGCTCAGGAATTGGCCACAGAGGATTGACTCAATTCTGACATTGGTTGCCAAGCTCGACACCTTGGGAACAATGCAGCTGTGAGGAAACGCTTCATCCTGTCCCACACCTCACCACCATTACCCACTCCAGAAGTAGATGGCTTTGGAGAAGGAATTACCAAGGTTTGCCTGAATATACTAACGATTAGAGAAAGGAGTCCCCATTTGCGAGATTCAGATTCCTTATTATGAAAATGAAAGACCGTTGATTATTGTAAAGCAGACCCACTGTGCTGTTCCTGAAACCTGTATTAGAAATCGACTTATGGTTGGTGTAGCTGCTGATTAGTGCTTAACTTTTCTCTCAGTGACTCTTTTTAAAGCAGGTTTAGGCTCAATATCCTCTTTTCCCCCTATCTTTTTCTTTTTATAGGCCCTTTAGGAATTGACTTGAGTTATGGAGTCCGGTGATATAAGGAAAGCAAACTAACACCAGCGAGTAAAATCATTAACTCTGTGAGTGAGACATTTGAACTGTAGATGGTTAAAAAAAACTCAGCGACTATTCTCAGTGTAGAATTAATGACCAAACTAGTATCGGGAGGGCAGGATTGTGAAGTTTATTGCTTAATTGCACAGAACATTAGCCATTGTGCCAGAAAGTCTTGTGCAACCCTTTGTTTCTTTAAATGCCATTTTGTAAGATTGGAATATATGGATTCTTAAGAATCCTACAGCTTAGAAAATCTGACAAATTCTCCCCATTCGCTATATTTAGAATCACTTGAAAACAGGTTTAAGCTATGGATAGCTCAATAGTTTCTAATGCTTGCATTAGGCTGGGTCTTTCTTTGTGTTCTTATGCACAGCCAGCAACTATCAGGAAGGCAGTGCTAAACTATACATTTTATTGGTGTTGAATGCCTTTTCTCAGTATACATTCCTAACATGCATTGCATCCAAAATCTGCTTTAGTCCTTAATGCTTTGATATTAGCTTCCAAACCATTGTCTAAAAGTTTAAGATCATGCATAATTTTCAAAGTGTGTGTTTGAGCCAGTGTGTGTGAGTAATTGTGTGCATGTGTGTGAGTGAGTGTGTGATTGCATATGTTTGCTTGTGCCAATGCCAAGCCACTACTTTACTGAAATGTAATGGTAATTGCTATTGTCTTAAAGAAATTATCGAGAAGAGTGATAAAGTTACTCTGGAAGAAGAAATCAAGGATTTGAGGCGGCATTCCAACAGGAACAAATCTCTCCAGGATGGAGACTTTGAACTCTCCGATGCATTCTACTTCTCCAAGAAAGGATTTGAAGCTATCGTCGAGGATGATGTGACCATTAGATTTAGTTCAGAAGAGATGGTCAAGTGGAACCTGCTAACGAGGACAAACAGAAACTTCCAACACATCAGCGTCCGTCTGACCATTCTATGGGGGGTGGGCCTCTGTATTCGATATGTTTTCCTCCTTCCTTTACGGTAAATATGAAAAATGAGCAGTCAAAACACAAAGTGCTGCAGTTATTGTCCATCAAATTTAGTTTTACAATTTAGTTTCCCCCCCCCCCCGCCGTGCAGTTCAACAGAATGTTGTCATATGTGGAGGCTTGTTGGTTAACAGCCATTTGGCGGCTTGCGAGTGCCTGTAAAAAGCACATCCGGCAATACGCTCATGAGTTGAAAATATCATGAGGAGTGGGGGGAGAAAAATAACAATAATAATAATAACCCTTGCATTTGATATAGCGCTTTTCACGTCGGGAGGACATCCCAAAACGCTTCACAGAACACACTGTAAAGTGAATTGACTGTATATTTGTGGGCGAACGCGGCAGCCAATTGCGCACGGCAATGTCCCACAAACAGTCGTAGATTGAAAATGACCAATTTATTATTGTTTTTGGTTTTGGAGGGGTTATTATTAGGCGTGTGGAGTAAGGAAACTTGCCCAAGGTTTCGCCCTCTGCCTGGAATTGAACTCAGGTCTCTCACTTGCAAAGCGAGTGCTCTAACCACTGAGCTACAGGACTCCACAAATGGTTAAATGGTACTTCAATTTAACAGCTCCTCCATAGGACGTCACCTTCGACAATGCAATGCTCCGCCAGCACTGAACTGGAGTATCAGTCTACATTATAAGCTCAAAGTCCTGATATGGTGCTTGAACGCACAACCTTTTGACTAGGAGACAAGAGTGCTACCAGCTGAGCCAGATTGATGCATTTGTTAATGTACTGTGTTCATTTACCTTCATGCAACTTCATCTGCAGGCTCACTTTGGCGGTGATCGGCCTCAGCTGGCTTGTGACTGGGACATCCCTAGTAGGACAGTTACCAAACAGCGGGTAAGAAATGGGAATATTTGAAAGTGGGAGAGGGAGGGGGGAGCACATTGTGTCCTGGGGATGGACACCTTGTGTCCTGAGGACAAGAAGGTTTTGCTGCATCTACAGTCCCAGGTGAGAGTCTGGCACGTTGGGTAATATCTGGTGAGCAGAAAAAATGAATCTGCAGATACCCAGCTCAGATACCCAGGAGTCCTGTAGCTCAAGGCGCACTCGCCTTGCAAGCGAGAGACCTGGGTTTGATTCCCGGCAGGGTGAAACTTTGGGCAAATTTCTTTACTCCACATGCCTGATAATAAACCCTCAGGAAAAAGAAAATAATAAAAAAAAGGTCACTTCAATCCATTTCAATGTTTGTGGGACACTGCTGTGGGTAATTGGCTGCCACTTTTTGCCCTCAAAATATACAGTCAATTCACTTACAGTCTATTCTATAAAGCGCTTTGAGGTGTCTAGAAGACTTGAAAAAGCGCTATATCAAATGCAAGGATTATTATATATATTATATTATTTTGCTCAGAACAGTACACATTATAACAATGTGCTCACCTCTGATACTCCATGACTTATGCAAGTGTAACTTCAAATTTGTGTTCCCTGTGTGCTTTTAGTGTATTGGGATGTCTCAGCTCCTGGCCACCTTAGGATTTAGAACATTTTCAGCTCTTGCTGTTTGGAACATAACTACTGTGTGCCTGTCCTTTGCTATTTTGTACCTAAACAAAGCAATCTAACAGATTTCTCAGAGGATCGTGCCTATCTATAGGGTGAATCCTGATTATCACTACCAGGGAGATTAAAGTGGTGGAAGCAGTATTGATATTTAGTATTAGATGAGACATTAAGCCACAGTCCCATGCCTGTTCAGGGGATCTTAAAGATACCATGGCCCTATTCGAAAAGAGAAAGGAGTTTCTTCTGGTGTCATGTTCAACAATCCCTCCCCAAATAAAATTGATCATTTGTTTCATATCTGTTTATGGGACATTGCTGTGGGGAATTGTGCTGCTGCATTTGCCTACAAATAGTCACTTTATTTCACAGTAAATCTTGTAAAACGCTTTGAGACGTCCTCCCAACGTGGTAAGGCGCTATACCAAATGCAAGGATTATTATATCATTATTGGGATATTCCCTGCTTCTAGAGGTGGTTTTACCTGGGGATGGTCATAGGAGGAAGAGGGTGTGGGGTGGAGTTGCATGAGGAGATTGTTTTGTGTTGACATTTAGCTTGTCTTTATCTGGCTTTATGTTATGTGCAATTAGCTGTCATGTTTCGCCCACAAAATATACAGTCAATTTACTTTACAGTTTATCCCGTGAAGCGCTTTAAGACGTCTCTACGAGGTGATCGGCGCTATATCAAATGCAAGGATTATTATTTATTGGAAATTGCAGAGAAAGAGAGTTAAAGTGTTTGTCTCCCCACAGCTTGAAGACGTGGCTAAGTGAACTTGTCCACCTGATGTGCTACAGAATATGTGCCAGAGGACTGTCAGCAACTATTCACTACCACAACAAGTGAGTCAATGCACAAAGCTGTGCTTTTTGCAAACCATTAATTTTTTTAAAAAATGTTTCTGACAGGTAAGCATAATCGATGTAAAACCACAAGACAGTGGGACTGGAAGCATTCCTCTCCAATAAGAAAACCACAGCACAAATGGCAAAAAGTGATGGAAAAATAGGCCTCTGATGTAGAGTGTGTTCTTGTGCAGGTACACTCTGTGTACGTCACACTTACGTACACACAGGGTCCCTGCTCTGAAGGAGGGCTCTGCTCCAAGGTGATCTTGTGTCAAACCCGAGTTCTTGCAAGTCAGGGTGGCATACCTCACCTCACCCAGAGCTTGTGAGGGTTTCTGCTGCGCTAATGTCATGCTAATGCAGTGGGGAGTGGAGGACTACATTTTCAAGATTGGGATTAAAACATGTTGCAGAGACTGACTGTAAGGAGTTTGGCTTAGGCCTTGAACCATTCCATGCTCTCCTTCACTATTCACCCTAAACGTTGATTTCCCCAGAGTTGAATTTGATCCCAAAATTGCTATCAAGGCACCTGATGCACCAGGCTTATGTGGTTGTGTTATTTTCCCCTCCTTTAGCCAGTGGAGGATTGTGATAAATGTGAAAACAACATGGTCAACAAACAGTACTGCATTAGCAAAGTCTTCTTCAGGATTAAACGCTCGGAGACACTGCCCTGAGTGAAGGACACTATTATAAATGGAAGTTGTTGTTATATTGAGGCATATTTGGGAGGGATCTTGCTGTGTAACACTTAAGTGAAGGCTGTGTCGTGGCCACTCATACGTGTATCTCTTTATCTGAATGAATGAAATTGTGCCATTGAATACGTTTATTTTACGTTATTATCTTTTAGAAAGTCTGTACATCTGGGCACTTGGTGTACTAACCAGTTCATATTGTGTGAGCGATTTGACTTTAGGGGTGCAGTGATTAGGAGCTCTGCTAACCAGTGCCAAACCCTAGTTACTTTTTAAAAAGAAAGTTATTGTTACAGAGCCGATCAAGTGACCAGATCTTTAAAACATTAAAAAAGGCACTTTTAAAGTACTTAATGAATTGCTTTTGAGAAGAGATTTGAAATGGATTTACACTGCTGATGCTAAGATTGAAGCAATGAGAATTGCATGGGAAGGGAATTGACCAGTCCATGCTGGAAGCTGGAAGTGTACCACACTTCAGTAACCGAGGGTTCACAGGACACCCACATTATAAGCGGTGTTGCGTTCCAGAGTTATCCTTTATGACTGGGTCACCTTGTGTGTATTTATATAAGTTTTAAATGTATCAAACATCATTAGTTTTTTTAAATAGAAAAAGCTAGTCAGCATCTGGTTGTACAAGGTTTCAGATGACTCAAGTGTCTGACAGTTAATTGCTCCTCCTCAATTTAATGAAACTGTGTCAAATGGTCATATGATGACCAACAAATGACAATGTAATAGGAAAGTGTTTTCCTTGGTACCTCCCTATTGTAATATTGCAACCGTGTTTTTTTTAAACCACGGAAATATTTGTACAGAGGAAACGCCATGATTAAGACAACGACTAACTTATATATGTTGTAATATATTAGTCAACTTTAGGTGTCAACATAGTTCAGCTGGTAGCACTCACGCTCTGAGTCAGCGGATGTGGGTTTGAGCCACACGTGAGCAATGGAATTCATAGAGTCTACACTGATATTCCAATGCAGAGCTGGGAATGCACTGCATTATTGGAGGTCCTGTTCTTTGGATGAGATGTTAAACCAAGGCCCCGTCTGCCTGTAGAGGAGGATGTTAACAATCCCATGGTACTAATTGAAAAGAGAATGGAGTTTCTCCTGGTGTCCTGGCCAGCAGTCTTCCCAAATAAATTGGTCACTCACTTCGTGGCTGTTTGTGGGACATTGCTTTGTACAAATTGGCTGCTGTGTTAACCCACAAAACCCTCAGTCACTCCACTTTACAGTAATTAGTGTAACATGTTCTGGTTCCGGCTGAAGATCTCCTCTGAGCCGAGGTTCTTGTAGTTGGTGTGATCTTTAGGGGTTGTCTCTCAGAGGATACAGTTCATGATGCAAATCGGATTTGCTATCAATGAGGTAACATTACTACTACTACTAATAATAATCCTTGCATTTGATATAGCACTTTTCACGTCTTCTAGATGTCCCAAAGCGCTTCACAGAATATACTGTAAAGTGAATTGACTGTATATTTGTGGACGAACGCGGCAGCCAATTGCGCACAGCAATGTCCCACAAACAGTCGTGGATTGAAAATGACCAATTTATTATTGTTTTGTTTTTTGGAGGGATTATTATTAGGCGTGTGGAGTAAGGAAACTTGCCCAAGGTTTCGTCCTGCCTGGAATTGAACTCAGGTCTCTCACTTGCAAAGCGAGTGCTCTAACCACTGAGCTACAGGACTCCACGTTTCACTGTCCCAGTGTAATGGTTTAAACACCGAAGGGCTAGATGGTATCTTACTGCAGGCCGTGTCCCATTGTACCTTTCACAGCACTATTTAAATAATTCTATTTATTTTGTTAATTTTCCATCATTTCATATTGAACAAGGGCTAAGAAGACTTTGATATCAAACTATGAATGCCTCACCCTTTTCTTCACAGGTGTTTTGTCACCACTTATCAATTGGCCTGGAGGGAGGAGGGGTTGGATGAATGAGGGAGCAGGGAGGAAAGGAAAGGAAGTTTAGTGAAATGTTATTGGGAAGAGATGCAGCACAAGATGTTCCTGACAGGTTATGTAGATAGTTTACATTTCTAACCTGTGTTACTCTTCTAATGTTATAAGAGCCCCACAATTATACCATTTTGCTCCTGTTCTGTTACCTGTATAAACAGCTGAGTGAAGCTTTGCTGTTCACGCCACAGAGTGTGTTCTTGCTGATTCACATCAGAGGTAGAAACAGCATTCCTGCAGGGCTGGATTAAGGGATCTGACGGCTATAAACCAAATCACTTTTGGGAGCCCTTCATGAAAAAAGCATGTGACGATTCATGAGGGATGCCAGCGCCGAAAAACATAAAACAACCCACAGTCCCATTATTGGTATCATTTCCCAATTTCCTGAGTAGCCTGTCCACCCTGCTGGTTTCATATCTGGGGCCCCTCAATCCTCGGGGACATAAATCATGGTTTATAGGCTAATCCGGCTTTGCGATGCTGGTGAAGTCAGTTGTTGTGTGCAGTCAGGACAGTGAAACCATCAATGCACATATAACATACACAACACTCACACACAGAAATATCAAAAAGTATCCCAGGGTTATTGCCCTTTATAAATTTTGAATGTAATTTTCCTTAAACCTAAAATAAATATTTTTTTGAAAAATGTCTTTTTTTAACATACAGAATTTGTGAAAGATCTAATGACCTGCACTAATTCACTACTGAAATTAAATTTTCCTTCCAAATAGCAGTGAGTCTTGTTTCCCCATAGTGTTGCACTTTTGATTAGGGAACTTAGTAGATATAGCTGGCTGCCGTCATAATGTGGTGCTTTGGATCCATAAGCCCAGATCCCAAATTGTAACAGGGCCCATTATAAAATAGCCATCATTCTGGACACTGTTATCTGTTATTCTGGTTGCAGATGCAATATATAATTTGCTAATTGTCACCGGTGATACTTCGCACACAATCTAAGAATCCTTACATTTGATATAGCACTTTTACGTTGGGATGATACCTCAAAGCACTTGACAGGATATATTGTAAAGTGTAGTGACTGTGTATTTTGTGGGCGAATGTGGCAGCTGAATTGCACACAACAATGTCCCAGAAACAGCCATGAGATGAATGAACAATTTTGTTTGGTGGATTATTGGGTAGGACACCGGGAGAAATGTCCTTCTCTTTTTGACTAGAGTCATGGGATCTATAACGTCTACAGACTCGGTTTCATGTCTAATGTGAAGGACGTCACCTTCAGCATTGCAGCGCACCCCCAGCACTGCATCAGGATGTCAGACAGTTATGAGTTCCAAGTTTCAACGTGGAACTTGAACCCACGTCTGACTCTGGAGTGAGAGTGTTACCAACTAAGCTGGGCTGAACCACGATATTTATAATAATAATAATAGCAATGCTTGAGTTTGATATAGCGCTTTTCACATCTTCTCGATGTCTCAAAGCGCTTCACAGAACAGACAGTAAAGTGAATTGACCGTATTTTGCTGTAATTTAGTTAAATGTAGGTTTAAAGCGAAGGGAGTCGCAAACAGATTTCAATTTGACTTTCTAATTGTGATGGGTCTGAAGGAACTCTGACCTGTTTGGGTTTGCTAATCATAGGGGTGTGTTTGTTTCCAATGGCGGAATTCCAGGGCTCCTTATCTTCACTGGCTGAACCTAGGATGCGGATAGCTTTTGAAATAATCTGCACCCTTTGCCTTCGCAAACTTTGCCCCAATCCTAACAGCTTTAATTCTTTAGTTAATTACATGAAACACGAACTGCTTTGTCCAGAATTAATTCCAACAATATTTTAATCCATTGCAGAGCAAACGTCAGGCAAGATAAAATGTGTGAGGCCAAATCTGTAACTTAATCTGTCCGGCATTTCCCTGTTCAGTTACAAAATGCTCCAGTATTCCCCTGAGGTCAGGTTGTCCCATGGATTCCTTGGAGCAATCTTGGCCGTGCATCTGATCAAGATATTGATCGCTAAGCACTTATGGCTATGTCAGCTCGGTTTGCCTGTGTGATCACGTCTCCATCATAAAAGGTCTGTTCAGTGACTGGCACAGTTTTATGTTATTTAGGACATGCTGCTTCCTTGTTATTCCAAGGAGGATGTTTTTCACCCAAATTCCAATGTTTGAGTGAAAAATGTATTGTGTAATTTGAGCACTTGAAAGCTATCATGTCAAAAACTGCAGTCCAATTAAATCACTATTTAATTGTCATTTAGTTTTGGGTATGAACACCCTCTCTCTCAATTTTGCCACAATCTTTTAGCCTGAAGTCACCAGTTGTTACCATTGTTTATTGCTGCTTGCAGAGATTTCAGTGCTGGAGCAGCCAACATCATCCACATGGTTTGGACTGCATGTTTCACCCAACTGATAGAGATAGGATGAAAGTCAATTAACTGTCTTTGACAAAAGAATATTAAGATTGTGGTGCACCAGTGGGTACCGTGATAATTCTGTCGTGATAATCTCAACAGAAAAGTGAGACCACGTTAAATGGGTTTGTGTTTGTGCAATATCTATGTGTAACTGCATACATACGCAAAACATGGTGTAAAGAATAGCAGAGATATTTGCCGATATGTACTTGTGTAGATTGATCCCTGTGTTACCAGGATTTGTTAACTACTGTACTGTTAGTGTTACAGTAATCCTAACAAAATACTTTCTGATTTCAGGGAAAACAGACCCAAAAAGGGAGGCATATGTGTGGCAAACCACACCTCACCAATAGACATCGTTATACTAGCCAATGATGGATGTTATGCAATGGTAAGGAAAGTAACTTTTGAATCCCAATGTGCCTTACAAGGTGTATTTTGTTTTTGTTTGCAAGATTTGTGGAACAAAATGTCTTACACTATGTTCCTGCTGCACATTTGTGCAGTAATGTTGCCTGTAATTTGATGGGAAGTAACCAAGGACTACAACTGGGGGTGAAGACACTGTGATTGAAGCCCCCTTATATCACCACCTGGAGGAGATGGTTTTAGGAGCAATCCAATTTGGATATCATGGAATACTAATGCAGTGCTACTGGGCGTAGGGATTCTCAGCTCCTATTAACCCTGCAAGCCCAAACCCTAACTGTTATGGTGGTCCTAGCTGAACAAGCAGCGGGAAAGCTTGCCAGACATTATCAGTGCCAAGCTATGTGGTTTTAGCTGGTTATACTCCAACAGTACCTCAGCCCACACTCCGGGGTACCCAAACCTTGGCACTTTCCAACCTATACCTATTACTTTCTGGAATTAGGTAAGCAGGGTGCATTCAACAACAACAAAATTACATTTGTATAGGGCCTTTTGTTCCAAGGGGCTGGACAATCAATGTTTTGGACCTGAGCTGTGGGTCGGGATTGGGAGGATGGAGGGCAGTGGGGGAAGGAAGGTGACCGAAGGCAAGGTCAAAGAGGAGGGTCTTGAGACTGGTCTTGAAGGCGACATGGGAGAGGCGAGGCGGGGATCTGTGGGATGAAGTTCCAGAGGGTGGGGGCAGAAGGCCCACCAACCAATGGTGGGGTGGGCGAGGCGGGGGATGTGAAGCAGGCCGGAGCCTGCTGAACGGAGGGAGCGGGCAGGTTGGTAGGGGGTTAGAAGGTCGCAGAGATAGGGGGGAGCATGGAGGGCTTTGAAGGTGAGGACCAGGATCTTGAACTGTATCCTCTGTGTGATGGGAAGCCAGTGAAGTCAGGCGAGTATGGGGGTGATAGGGTCGCAGAGCCTGGAGCAGTAGAGGACACAGGCTGCAGAGATCTGGATGATTTGCAGCCTATGGAGGGAGGAATTGGGGAGCCCAATAAAAAGGAAGTTTGCGCAGTCGAGCCTAGATGTTATTAATGTGTATATGAGGGTCTCGGCAGTCTGTAATGTGAGGTAGTGGCAGACTCGAGCGATGTTCCCGAGGTGGGGGAGGCAACAACAACAACAAGATTCCATTTATAGAGCACCTTTCACGTCAGGAGGACGTCCCAAGGCGCTGTACAGTTGGGTCAGGACCCGAGCAGAGGGGAAATGGTCAGGGTGAGGGAAGGGAAGGGAGGGAGCGAGGAGGGGGTAGAGAGTCGAGAGGGGAGCCGAGGGCTCGGTCAAAGAGAAAGGTCTTGAGACCAGCCTTGAAGGAGGAAAGGGAGGAGGCGGCGAAGGCACTGGGGGATAGAGTTCCAGAGCCTAGGGGCTGAGAGGCTGAAGGCCCGGCCACCGATGGTAGGGCGGTTGGGGCGGGGGATGTGGAGCAGACCAGAGCCAGAGGAACGGAGGGTACGGGCAGGTAGGTAGGGAGATAGTAGGTCAGAGAGGTAGGGGGGACCAAGGCCGTGAATGGCCTTGTAGGTGAGGATGAGGATCTTGAATTTGATCCTCTGGGGGATGGGGAGCCAGTGGAGGCGAGCGAGGGTGGGAGTGATGTGGTCGCGAAGCCTGGTGCGGGACAGTACACGAGCTGCAGAGTTCTGAATGACCTGCAGCTTGTGGAGGGAGGAGCCGGGAGGGCCGGCGAGTAGAGAGTTCCCATAGTCCAGCCTTGAGGCGATAAAGGCGTGGACCAGGGTTTCAGCAGCGTGAGGGGTGAGGTAGTGCCGTAGTCTGGCGATATTCTGGAGGTGATGGAAGGCAGTGCCAGTTGTGGCGCGGATATGAGGGAGAAAGGACAGCTCAGGGTCGAACAGAACACCGAGATTCCTGACCGGCTTTGAGAGGTGGAGAGTACAGCCTTGGATGCCGATGCTGTCAGAGCCTGAGGTGCGGAGGCGCTGACGCGAGCCAATCAGGAGGGCCTCAGTTTTACGCACGTTGAGCTGAAGAAAGTTGTCTCTCGTCCAGGACTCGATGTCGGACAGGCAGGCTGTCAGGACATCGGTGGTCGTGGAGTTGAGGGTAGAGGAAGAAAGGTAGAGTTGGGTTTCATCTGCATACATGTGGAAGTTAACCCCATGTCTGCAGATGATGTCACCAAGGGGGAGCATATAGAGGGTGAAAAGGAGGGGACCGAGGACAGAGCCTCAGAGCAGAGTGGAACATGGCATGGATGTGATGTAGGAAGGATAGTTGAGGGTCAAACAAGACATCAAGGTTTCGGTCTGATCAGTGCGGTGATACTGTCAGTACCTGAGGTGTGAAGGCGCTGACAAGAGCCAAGCAGGAGGATCTCAGTCTTGTTGACGCTCAACTGCAGAAAGTTAGCTCTCATCAGGACTTGATGTCTGACAGACATTCTGTCAGGACAGCAGTGGTCCTGAAGTCAAGGGTGGAGGCAGAGAGATGAGAGTTGGGTGTCATCTGCATCCGCAGGTGGAAATTGACCCCATGTCTGCAGATGATGTGACCAAGAGGGAGCATATAGGTATTGAAAAGAAGGGAACCAAGGACAGAGCCCTGAGGAAGTCTGCACAAGATGGTTTGCGGGCTAGAGGAGAAGCCATTTGTGGAGATGAAGTGGAGACGGTGTGAGAAGTAGGATCTGAACCATTTAAGGCAGAACCTTGAAGGTTGAGGTGAGAGGAGAGGTGGTGGAGGAGGATAGAATGGTCAATGGTATTGAGGCAGCAGAGAAGTCAAAGAGGATGAGGAGGCAGGGGGAGCCCTGTTTGCAGATGGACAAAATGTCATTTGTCACTGCGACCAAAACTGTTTCTGTGCTGTGGGCAGCACTGAAACTCGATTGGAGGGGTTGTTGAAGGGAGTGGTGGGAGAGGAAGGAGCAAAGCTGGGACGCAACGATTCATTCCAGGAATTTGGAAAGGGAGGTTGGAGGTGGGCTGGTAGTTTGAGAGCAGGGACAGGACCAGGGAGGGTTTTTTTAAGGATAGGAATGATGATGGACGTTTTTAGAGTGGTGGGAACTGTGCCAGTGGACAGGGATTGTCTGAGTAGGGGAGAAAGGAGATGCTGCAGGGAGGTAAGAAGAGGTGTAGGAATGGGGTAGAGGAAGCAGGTGGTCGGTTTCATATTGGTTATGGTGGTGATGAGAGAGAAGTCGAAGACAGGTTCGAAGATGTGGAGGGAGGGATGGGTTGGAGCTGCGATGTGAGGGGGAGATGGGGAGGGGGTAGTAGACGGAAGGGCAGCTGAGTGGATCCTCTTGACTTTGGTATAGAGGAAGTCCAGCATCTCCTCGCAGTTGGTGTTGGAGGAAAGGATGGGTGACGTGTGAGAGGGTTGGTGGCGGAGCCGGTTGGTGATGGAGAAGAGAAGCCTGAGCTTGTCCTTGGCCTCCAAGATTGTCTTGGGCGTAGAAGGATTATTTAGTGAAAGTGAGTAGGCACGGTAAGATTTAATAAGGTCCAGCCATTTCTGTCGATTCACTGTTAAGTTGCATTTGAGCTAGGTGCGTTCAGCGGCACGCAACTGAGCCTTAAGGAAGTGGAGGTGGCTGGTATATCTGGATGACTTCCGTGAGTAGGAGACAGTTCGGGAAATGAAGGGGGCAAGGGCATCAAGAGTGGTGGAGAGGGAGTTGTGGATGAGAGTGACCTAGGAGAATAGGTCATTGCAGGAAGAAGCCCAGAGGGGGAGGAGTTCAGCTGATTCCAAGGTAGTGGAGTGAGAGAGGGTGGGTCATTTTTTTTTCAGGGGGTGGTAGGAGATGGGTTGGGTGGCTGTAGGGAGAGGAATTGAGAAGTTAAGGGAGATGATGTAATGGTCCGAGATGGCTTTGTTGGTGATGGTGAGGTCTGAGATGTTGAGACCCAGGGTAACCACCAGGTCAAGCGGGTGGATGTGGTGGGTGGAAGTGGAGGGAGAGGTTATGAGAAGAGAGAGGAGAAGTCAGCAGAGAGGCTTCTCCTCCAGCGGAAAGAGAAGAAGTCAGCATTCCTACCAGAAGAGCGCACACGTTCCAGACACCAAGAAATTTCCATTTGTAAGTGGCACATATATGTGGAACTCTCAGTAAAAGCACACTCTGGGGATACCAAACCTTGGCTCTTATCAACTTATGCTTAGAATTAGGTAAGCAGAGTGCTCCCCTTCAGACACAGGGAAATTACCATACGCAGATAATATACATATGTGGAATTATCAGTTTGGTTTGGATACTATTAAGCATGGTGATAGGTTTCCCTACATGTCAGACATGTGGTTGAACCAAAAACAATTGAATGCGGTGGGTGTAAGCTGAACAACCCTTTGAAATCTTTTCAGACCAAAATTAGAGTTTATTTTGACAGTCTATTCCAAGTGATGGCGAGCCAGAAAAAAAAAAGTAGGGTTTCCCAGTGCCTGCTTCCAGCAGTATTAACCTTTCTGAATAAGAGTCCACTTTTCACCTATGTTTCACGTGAATGTTTCAGTGAGAAGTAAAATTGCTGTTTTGGCCACCTTTGTTTTGTCTCGTTTACAATAAAGTTATGCACCAAAGTAATGCACATTTTTACAGAGTATTATTATCCCCTCTTCCTCTCTTTACCTTGTTTTAAATGTGGTTGATCCAAGGCCTTTGCTGCTTTGAGCTGGTCACTGCATGGTGTGCAGGACCAGAATGGTTGGCTCTTCCTTGCCCTCCTTCCTGTCCCCGTCCTGTGGAATCCACATTACCTCGCCTGGTGGGGTGGATATCTGAGCGGGACTGATTGAGAGCCCTGTGCTGATACCACAAGTTTGGCTCTCGTTTCCTAGCACCATGGAAATGCTAACTATGAAATGCAACTTGTGCGTGTCGAAAGGAATGGCTGGATTGGTCTCTAGGAGATTCTGCTGAATGCCTTCAACATTAGGATGGGGGAGGAATTTGCAAGAGCTTTGTCTTGGTTTCACCTGAGGTTGGTGACGTCCCTCAGTAGTGCGAGTGCATTTGACAGATGCCGTAGTGAAGCCTTTAACAGCATATACGTAGCCTTTGGAGCGAATGAACTTGAAGGGTCACGTATTCTTTTCCCATTACAGACAGTCTTCATATTCAGCCTCCTTCACGCCACCCCCACTCCCCCAGGTTTTCAGCCTTTCTGCCACCACTCTCTGGAACTCCATCCCTTCAACTCCCTCTCTCCCCTTGTTCAAGGTCTGTCTCAAAATTTACTTCTTTGATTGGGTTTTTGGTCTTCTCCCTACTCACTCCCCTCAGCTCCTAACCCCAGCTTGTGTGTCATGCCATTAGACGCTGTATAAATTCACATGTACACAGCGCCTTTCACATCAGAAGCAGAGAGAGAGCATCCCAAAACACTTAACAGTAATTGTATTTTCTGACCTGTCTGAGTTGCTATGGCGTGCCCCCAATTGATTTAATCTGAAATAAACGAATAATCACTGGTGAAACTTCTTTAAAAAAAACATCAGAATATGTCAGGCGAGTAAACATTCCTCTCTTAAAATTATTCCATCACTGGATAATTGGATTCAAACTCTAGGCTGCGTTGGACATTCCAACCCACATTATTCGAGCTGGACTAGTTGCACAACACAGGTGAATCTTCAATCCTCACAGGATTGGAGCCATCGCAGTGTGTCTAAATTTATTTTTCCCTTCAATCTTGTTGATCAGCTTTTTTTTTAAAAAAGGAAGCAGTTCCACAAGCCCTTTAGTTTTGTGTGAGTGTGTAGTTTGTTTAATTTTTATGCCTACGGCCTCTATTTACGTTCTGGATTAAATAATTCCAGGTGAAACAATTTGGTTACATTTATACGTCCTGCCCCTCTTGGAGTTTTAAGAACATTTTAACAATCCTTGTATTTGGTGTAGCAGCAATAACCCTCAAAATGGCTGGAATCCCTTCAAAGGGAATTGCTGTCAAGTGCAGTAACTGTATAATTTGTAATCAACATGATCTTTCCCGCCTCAATCTTTCCACTGGTGAGAAACAATTAATTTTGAATTGAATTGTTTTAAGTTGTAGGATCATGCTCACCTCCTCTGACTCCAGTGTGAAGTCATACTCTACATATCTGACCTATACTTACTTGCATTGTGGATTCCTAAGACAAATTTGCTCCAATTCATCTTCAGTCTTCATTTATGCATTGCACAATTTAATAGATCTCCCATTTCCTTATTCTCTCACACATTTCTGCCACGTCAAGACTTAAAGGACCTATCTAGCTTTCAGTAGTCTGTCTGCTTATTACACACCTGAATATTTCTGTGGAGTTTGACTCCTTTGACCAAACTACAATCATTTTTTTCTATTGCCTTCATTTCCCTTTTAGAAAGATTACAAAGAATGTACAGTACAGAAACAAGCCACTTGGTCAAACCAGTCCATGCCAGTGTTTTCACTCCACACAAGTTTATACTCCATCCTTACTCCTGTCATACTCTTCTATTCCCCTCTCCCTCATGTAAAGGTCCAGCTTCCTGCTGAATGCACCTACACTGTCTGATTCAAAACGTTGCTTCAGGCAGAAAATCTGTGGAGATGCCGGGGATTGAACCCGGGACCTCATACATGCAAAGCATGCGCTCTACCACTGAGCTACATCCCCATTTAGTTCTCTGTAGGACTGAAGTTCTGAGCTTTAAGGACTATTTTGCCTTAAAATTAAGTTGTGCGGAACGGCAGAAAATGTTTTAATCCAGTCTTAATTCAGAAAAGTTTTTTTTAAGAACTGCAGAAAAACAGCTTTCAAACTTTAAAAATGTAGTGTAGTGACTACATTTTTGTAGGTGAAGTTTGTGTGCAGCAGTGTCCCACAAACAGCCAAAATGTGAATGACCGATTTTATCTGGGGGATTGTTGGCCAGGAAACAGGGAGAAATTTCCTTCTCTTTTCAAATGGTGACACGGGATCTATAATGTTCACCTGAACTGAGCGAGAGAATATTATGTAAAACTGGATTAGAATCTGTTAAGGAATAGGACTGAGAGCTTGTAAACATAATAATAGATGATTGAATGCTTACTTTGCAAGTGAGAGACCTGGGTTCGATTCCCAGCAGGGTGAAACCTTGGGCAAGTTTATTTACTCCACACGCCTGATGATAATCCCTCAAATAAAAAACAATAATAAATTGGTCATTTCAATCCACGACTGTTTGTGGGACACTGCTGTGCGCAATTGGCTGCCGTGTTCGCCCACAAATATACAGTCAATTCACTTTACAGTGTTTTCTGTGAAGCGCTTTGGGACGTCCTCCCGACGTGAAAAGCGCTATATCAAATGCAAGGATTATTATTATTCTGTGAAGTGCTTTGAGACGTCGAGAAGATGTGAAAAGCACTATATCAAATGCAAGGATTATTATTATTACTCCAAGTATAGCATACCATTGATGGATCGTATCAGTTAAGTTTATGCAGGATTTCCTAAAGGAAACAGACTTAATGAGAGACATTTTGATGCCTTACTAATGTTCTGATGAAGTATTTTCATAGCACATGTTAACTTTGCTAAAGAGTTGTATGTATGGATTGCTTTTGCCCTTAGCATGTATTACTATATCGAATGCGTCTATGCAGTGTTCACTGGAATCATAAGGGATAATATTCCCTCACCATTTAGTTGAACGATTTTAAGGATGTGCTCATAATGGGAAAATTGCACATTGTGAAAATCACTGAACTTGGTGTCAGTGCTGAATATCTTGTCCTGCATGTTCATTCTGAGATTAATAATCTTTTCTGGTGGCCAGGAAAATACTAAATACAATCCAGCATCTGCTCCTGTGCTCTGCTTCACACAGTGTGCTGCGAAGTACAGAATTAGTGGTGCTTTCACTTCTCCCTTTGCCTTGCACTTCATTATTGGTGTATTACAATTCCTGAGATTGCTAAAATCCCTAGGGATTATAACATGATGATTACCTGCCACTCCTTCCTTGCCTAAACAGCTTCCCAAACAGCTCCTGCCTCTTTTTCTCTCAATCTAGTCTTAATTTGGAAATGGTTCTTTTTTTAAGAACTGCAGAAAAACAGCTTTAAATTTTAAAAATGTAGTGTAGTGACTACATTTTTGTAGGCACTACATTACAAATGTAGTGGATGGATATCTCTTTCTAGTCCTTCAATTGACCGTGACCATATAAACTGGCTGTACAGAGCAGATAACAGTTACCATTTTGCACATGCTATATTTCTAGTTTCTCGCCAGCATACTGCCATATTCCTTATTTTGTAGGTTGCATAAACATTTAATCCTCTAAAATTAAATTCTCATTCTTTTTCTCCTTTCTCCCCAAAAGGGAAAAACACCTCCGTTCACTCATGTCAATCTTGTACTCACACTCGGAAATAGAATCATAATATTGAGCCCGGTGTTTTTTTTGTGTGTTGTTTCTTTATTCAGAGCCATTATAGTGAGATATGTTGCTGGTGTTTGATAAATTACAGTAATAAATGTGACTATATTGTGTAAATGTTTGCACGGATTGCCTGAACTGGTGGGACGAGTTGCTTGGGTGGGAGGATGCTTTGCGGGCTGAATGCAACCTGTTGTTTGCAAGTTGAAACATGTTTTAAGAGACATTCCCTGATTTTTAATGTATATTAATATTGATAAAGTTGTTTTGGTCATGGAGAATTATGACCTGTTGGTGTCCTTGCTTGAACAGGTTGGACAGGTGCATGGCGGATTGATGGGAATTATTCAGAGGTCTATGGTGAAAGCCTGCCCACATGTCTGGTTTGAACGAAATGAGATGAAAGACCGCCATCTGGTAATGAAAAGGTTAGCCGCGGCATTGCTGCTTGTCAAAGCTCCTGAAACACTCCAGTCTTTTCGCATTCCCGCATCCCACTTCCAGAAGAAATGTTGAATTCAAGTCCGAGAACATTGTCGCAGTGTGATGAGTTTCATTGATGTATTTGATGGGTTTTGGTATGAGTTAGCATTTCAAGAATACAGCTTCAACCCATTATAACACACCTCAGTACACTGAGGATCTGCTTATAGCACGGACGGATCTACAGTACTCTGGAAGTGAGGTATGCTTCCAGTATTGACTGGTTGGCTATTAGCATTGACTGGAGGCTTCCTGTTCATAAAGGCAGACTCAGAAGGCCAGTGTCCTAGCAACCATTTGTGTGACGTCAGCCTGATAACCTGGAAATATCATTTGTATAGTGCAAGGTGTGGTTTTATAGATCCATTCATGGGTTGGACCCATTAATCTTGTTTCATTTTAGGACATTTGCAAATAGGGTTTCTTGTGTTAATCACAACTTCCGGTTTGTCAACCTTGAGTCAGTAAAGTCAAAAAAAAAAGGTTGGGCACAACTCAAAACTACCCTTGATTATTTATCCCAAACAAAGGTGTTCAATTTGCGTGTGAAGCTTAACTGTATAAACTGGTAACTGTTGCGTTACAACCATCCTTCCTTCATTGTGGCTGTTATCATACTCTGGTATCTCCTCTGCTTCACCATTGGTAGCCGCACTTTAAGTCACTGCACCTGAGACTCTGGAGCTCTGCCTCAATCCCTCTTCCTTGCCTCGTGGATGAAGATCATCCAGAACTCTGCAGCCTGTGTCCTCTCCCGCATGAGGCTCCGCAACCCTATCACCCTCATCCTTGTGAAACTCCACTGGCTTCCCATCACACAAAGGCTACAGTGCAAGATCCTAGTTCTCACCTTCAAAGCCCTCCATGGTCTTGCTCCCCCGTACCTCTGCGACCTCCTAATCCCCTACCATCCTGCTCACTCCCTCCACTCAATGGCCTCTGGCCTCCTCACCTCAGGCGCTGACAGCATCACCATCCATGGAAGCACACTCCACTTTGCTAAGACAGTCCGGAATCTTGGGGTCTTGTTTGACCCTCAGCTATCCTTTCTACTCCACATCTGCGCCATGACCCGCTCTGCCTTCCCCCACCTCCGCAATGTCGCCTGGCTCCGCCACTCACATCGCAGGCCGCCAAAACCCTCATCCACACCTTCATACATCCAGGCTCGACTACGCAAACTCACTGCTTGTCGGCCTCCCCAACTCTTCCCTCCACAGGCTGCAGATCATCCAGAACTCTGCAGCCGGGTCCTCTTCCGCACCAGGCTCCATGACCCTATCACCCCCATCCTCGTCCAACTCCATTGGCTTCCCATCACACAGAGGATACAGTTCAAGATCCTGGTCCTCACCTTCAAAGCCCTCCATGGTCTTGCTCCCCCCTACCGCTCCGACCTCCTAACCCCCTATCATCCTGCTCCTCCCTCCGCTCAGCGGGCTCCGGCCTGCTTCACGTCCGCCGCCTCACTCGGCCCACTATTGACAAGCGGGCCTTCCGCCACTCTTCCCTCACCCTCTGGAACTCCATCCCATTGTCCCTCCACCTCGCTCCCTCCCTTACCCCCTTCAAGACCCATCTCAAGACCCTCCTCTTCGACCGTGCTTTCGATCACCCTGCTTCATCCCCTGCCCTCCACCCTTCCCGACTCCCAGCTTGGGTCCATAACTCTCTCTGTCCAGCACCTTGGGATGTCCTCCTGACGTGAAAGGCGCTTTACAAATGTAATTTTGTTGTTGTTGCCTGTCTTCAGATCACACCTGAAGACATTCCTCTTCGATCGTGCCTATGGTCACCTCCCCTCTCTCCCGGCTGATGTCAAGCTGTTGACAGCTCTGTGACGCTGCCTCGTATGAAGGCGCTATATGAATGCAAGTTGTTGATGTTGTGGTTACTGTATGTATCATTACATCTTACAGACACAGGGAGATTTCCATGTGTAGGTAGCATGCATATGTGGAACTCTTATTTGATTTTGATCATCTTAAACATGGTGAAGGGTTTCCCAGCCAGACCTGGCTGACCAAAAAACATTGTCCTTTCTTTTATATTTCTTCTCTTCACAGATTAAAAAATCATGTTGCAGATAAGACAAAATTGCCGATTTTAATATTTCCGGAAGGTAACTGAGATTTTTTTAAACTATTCCAACCAAATTGTTGATCACAGTATAATTACCCCAAATAACAACAACTTATATTTATATAGCACCTTTCACATTGGGAGGACATATCAAAAGCGCATCACACAACTGACTAGAAGAACTGAGGGTAGAATGTGTCCAAAAGCACAGTTGAAGACATAGGTCTTAAGGCGGGTTTTGAAGGTGGTGAGAAGGTGTAGGGATTCTGGGATAGAGTTGCAGACAGTAGAGACACTGTGGACACAGTGGTTCGTGGTTAGCTCGCTCTCCTCACAAGCGAGAGGAATAGGGTTCGATTCCTGGGCAGGGCGACACCTTAGACATGTTTCCTTACTTCACACTCTTGTTTACCTCGCAGTAAGTAGGAACACGGTTGAAATCTGACTGGCAGATCTCTTTCTGGGGGTAATAATCCCTCAAAAAAAATCCACAGTTGTTTGTGGGACACTACTGTGCGCAATTGGCTACCGTGTTTCGCCCACTAAATACATAGTCACTCCACTCTACAATAGTTTCTATGAAGTGCTTTGAGATATCTTATAAGTGTGATAAGGCACTGTATCAAATGCAAGAATTAGTATTATTATTGTTGTTATAAAAGCTTGCCCACTGATGATAGGGTGGAATGGGTGGGGATATGAAGCTGACTGGTGTTGGCTGACTGGGGCAGTAGGATTACAGAACTAGGGTGGGACAAGACCATGGAGTACTTGAAAGCGAGGACAAGAATCTTAAATTCAATCTGCTGGGTAATGGGGAGGCAGTGGAGCCGTGTGAGAATAATCGATAAGGTGCCGCATTAAAGGTTAGTCCAAAAGATAAGGGCCCATGGAATTGGGGGGAGCATATTAACGTGGATTTGGGAATGGTTAACAGGTAGGAAACAAAGAGTAGGGATAAACAGGTCCTTTTCAGATTGGTGGGATGTGACTACTGGAGTGCCACAAGGATCAGTCCTTGGGCCTCAGCTACTTACCATCTACATCAACGATCTAGATGAGGACATCAAAGTTAATATATCCAAATTCGCGGATGACACAAAACTAGGAGGAAGTGTCAACACAGAGGATGACATTAAAAAAATGCAGCGAGACATAGATAGGTTAGGTGATTGGCAGGTAGGTGGCAGATGAAGTATAACGTAGGGAAGTGCGAAGTCATCCACCTAGGTAGCAAAAACAGTAGAGTGGATTCTTTTTTAGAAAGGGAGAGATTGGAATGTGTTAGCGTCCAGAGGGACTTGGGTGTCCTTGTACACCAATCACAGAAAGTTAGTCTGCAGGTGCAGCAAACAATTAGGAGGTCGAACGGTATGTTAGCATTCATTATGAAAGAATTAGAGTACAAGAGTAGGGAAGTCTTGTTGCAACTGTATATGGCCCTGGTGAGACCACACCTGGAATACTGTCTCCAGTTTTGGTCTCCTTATTTAAGGAAGGATGTACTTGCCTTGGAGGGGGTGCAGCGTAGATTTACTTGGTTAGCACCAGGGATGAAGGAGATGAGTTACGAGGATAGGCTGACCAATTTGGGCCTATATTCTCTAGAAAATAGAAGAATTAGAGGGGATATTATAGAAACCTATAAGATCATCAAACAGTACATAGTGGGAGATTGTTTCCCCTGGTTGGAGAAACTAAAATCAGGGGTCACAAACTTAAAATCAGATACCAGCCCTTTCGCACTGAGTTGAGGAAGAACTTCTTCACTTAAAGGGTGGTGAATGTATGAAACTCACTACCCCAAAGGGCTGTTGGCGCTCAGTCCTTGAACTTATTCAAGACTGAGATAGATATATTTCTTATTGCAAAAGGGATTAAGGGATATGGGAATAAGGCAGGGTTAGGTTATTAGCTGTAGTTAGATTAGAAGATCAGCCATGATTGAATGGCGGGGCAGGCTCGAAGGGCCGAATGGCCTGCTCCTGCATGTTATGTTAACTGCATTTTCGATTTGAGTAAATATGGTAATTCATAACTAGAAGAGTGGAGTAATTTATATTGAATATTTACATAACCATTCATTCCTTCTTCAACCAATATGCCTTATGCTGCAATTTAATAGGATTGATTTTGTTCATGGAATTATGTTGGCTATTGAATAGTGTTTGACATTCAGGGATATGTTAAGTAGGGTTGTGTGGTCTTGTCTTATTTACCCCTGAAGTAAGGCACTGCGTAACTGTGTAACTCTCTTGTAGGTACCTGCATTAACAATACCTCTGTCATGATGTTTAAGAAAGGAAGTTTTGAAATAGGAGGAACTTTTTACCCGGTTGCGATCAAGGTAACGCGATAAATGTTCTGTGTGTGATTCTTGCATACTGTCGACTTTAATAAGTTTTGCCCTTGAATTATTTGACACTGTATGTTGAAGATGGCACATATTTCTGAAAGAATTGCATGTATGAGGGAGAACACTATTCATTGTGGAATCCTGTAGTTCAGGGGTTAGAGCACTCACCTCGCAAGCGAAAGACCTGAGTTCGATTCTCAATAGGGCAAAACCTTGGCCAAGTTTCCTTACTCCACACACCTGATAATAATCCCTCAAGAAAAATAGAACAATAATAAACTGGTCACGTCAATCCACGACTGTTTGTGGGACACCCCTGTGGGCAATTGGCTACCACATTTCACCCACAAGTATACAGTCAATTCACTTTACAGTAGATTCTGTGAAGAGTTTCGAGATCTTTGGAAGACGTGAAAATCCTACATCAAATACAAGGATTATTATTATATATTATAAGGGAATAGGGTTTATGGGAGAGGGGATTAGGGGGGTGGAGGCTCATGTGGAGTATAAACACAGCATTGACTGCTTGGGCCGAACGGTGTGTTTCTGTGCTTATCTTTCTATGTATCCACGTAGAACTCATCCTATCTTAGTTTACATAGATGTACATTAATTGAAGAGCATGGAAACAGGCCATGTGTCCCAGCCCGTCAGTGCTGGTGTTTCTACCCACACATGAGTCTCCACCCACTTCTTACTCTCTCCCATAATCCTTCATCCCCTTCTCCCTTATGTGAATAATAGTAATAATCCTTGCATTTGATATAGCGCTTTTCACGTCGGGAGGACGACCCAAAGCGCTTCTAACTTCCTCTTAAATCATATGTATCTGTACTATCTGCTAACTGCTGCTATGGGCAGCCAGTTGCACATTCTCACTGTCCTATACTTGAAGACATTCCTCCTAATTTCTAGTTTCATCAATCCATTTAAATTCCCAAGATATACGTGACGGAAGAGTTCGCCATAAATACTCCTCAATGCCAAAAAGATAATCAAAAAAAAATCAGAAAATTCATTCAACCTGGCCCCATTGGTGCAAAAAGACCTGATCATCTCAGTCTAGACCTATTCCTGTAATGAGCGATGCTGTTCTTCATTTGGGTGAAGAAGATGTGTGCAGTTCTTGTCGCTCGGGATGGGATGATCAGACTCCTTAAAGCAGTTGCAGGTTGGTTTTGTGCGTTCCCTTTTTTCTCATCCTCCCCACCTTGTTTTTTTCTATTTTTTTCTCTTCGTACTGATGGTCATAGTACACAGATGCCATTCAAGAGCAGAGCATCCTCTTGACTTGCACCTTTAGGCCTTTGCGACTCCCATGTTTAACATGCAGATTCTTGGGATCTTTGAATAAGTATTTTTGAGTGCAATGCATATTCTCTTATTGCTGCCCTTGCTTGACCCTGTGCCCTGTGCTTTGTTGCAGTATGACCCTCAGTTTGGTGATGCTTTCTGGAACAGCAGTAAGTATGGAATGGTGACATATCTGCTCCAAATGATGACCAGTTGGGCCATCGTCTGCAACGTGTGGTACTTGCCCCCAATGACTAAGCAGGTTTGCAAAGATCCTAATATCCATGTATTATACTAATATCTGCCATGTATATCCTAATACCAGTGTATATCTTAAAGTCCATGTAACAGCTAACCCTCAGTGGTGATGTCATTTGCTCTTCGCAGTGTTAAAGGGGCTGTGCTGTTCTGTTGGCAAAAATAGTAGTTATGTTGTGGCCACAAGCACTTGTTAATAGTGAAGGCGCATTCGCAATGACCTAGCTTTGAAATAAAGCAAACTTCACTAGGAAGGTCATGCACTTGATGCTCTTCAGAATTAACAGTGGTTATTAAGGGATATGTGATATGTTATTATGGGGCAGCAGGTAGCGGCTACAATTGGTCTCAGTGTCCCTGGGTAAGGGAGGGGTGATAACCGGCCAGGACTCTCACTCCTGATCACCATCCAGACACTCATGAAAGGGGTGTGTGTGGGTGTGCAATGTACAATATAGAGATGGAGTCTTAGCAGGAAGAAGTGGATGGAAGCCTAATTGTAATGAAGAGCAAGTCTTGACTTCCCACCCAACCAGCCATCCCTGCCCTCAGTAACTAAGCACTTCTGTCCATCTCATTTTGGTGCAAGGTGCTTGTCTACATAGGTTATTCTGGATAGCTAGAAATTGTTCAAGCATCTTAACTGCATCGTGTACTGAATGTACTTGCAGTCCAGAGTGACACTTCAGTGCTGAGCTGGGGAGCACTGCTTTGTCAGAGGTGAGTGGGCTGAATGCCTTTGCTTGTGTGTGTGGCTCAGACTTGAACTGGGGAATGAGCCCACTTAACAGCTGTTGAGTGGAGCTCTTCAACTCAGCCCTTCAACATAAGGTTTCAAAGTATCCTCATGTAGCAGTGGTGAAAAAAAATTGAACTTTGGATCTTGGTAATATATTAACCCTCAATCGATTAGTCGCTGGCTTTGTGAACTATACAGAGTGGCTGTATAATAGTCAAACTATGAGCTGAGAAGTATTTATAGTTTAATATGTTATTAAACTTTTAAGACAGCACAGTCATAGAATTTGAACCCCAGCCTCCTGCATAAACAGGAAATCTAGCTGTAGGTGCTTCGAGGACAATGATTGTTGGTTAAATATTTTCTATTAACCAGCAATGAGAAACGAAACACTGCAGGAGGTTGTGTAAAAGTTGTCTTATAAACAAAAAGTTGCAAATATATTAATGCCTGCAAAAGAGTCTTCAGTATAATCCACATGAAACTGACCACCTACTCACTCAACCCCATCCCTACCCCTCTCCTTACCTCCTTCCTTCCTTGTCCCTCTACTGACAGACATCATAAACCTCTCCCTGTCCACTATCACCATTTCCAACCCTTTAAAAATAGTTGCAATCACTCCTATTCTTAAAAAAAAACCCTCCCTGGACCCATCCCTGCTCTCAAACTACCGCCCCATCTCCAACCTCCCTTTCCATATTCCTGGACTGTGTTGTTACTTCCCAGCTTTGTAACTTCCTCTCCCACCACTCTCTTCATGAACACCTCCAATTGGTTTCCACAGCACAAAAACAGCTTTGGTCAAAGTGACAAATGACATTTTGTCCATCAGCGACCAGGAATCCCTCTGCCTCCTCATCCTCCTTGACCTCTCTGCTGCCTTCAATACTGTTGAACACTCTATCCTCCTCCACCGCCTCTCCTCTCACCTCAACCTTCAGAGTTCTGTCCTTGAATAGTTCAGATCCTATCTCTCACACCGTCTCCACTTCATCTCCACAAACGGCTTGTCCTCTTGCCCCCTTACCATCTCGTGCAGCGTTCCTCACGGCTCTGTCCTTGGTCCCCTCTTCAATACCTATATGCTCGCTCTTGGTCACATCATCCACAGATACAGGGTCAACTTCTACATGTATGCAGATGACACCCAACAGTATCTTTCTGCCTCCACCCTTGACTCCAGGACCACTGCTGTCCTGACAGAATGTCTGTCAGACATCAAGTCCTGGACGAGAGTGAACTTTCTTCAGTTGAACGTCAACAAGACCGAGGCCCTCCTGATTAGTTCCTATCAGTACCTCCTCCACACCTCAGGCACTGACAGCACACTCCCTCCATAGGCTGAGATCATCCAGAAATCTGTAGCCTGTGTCCTCTCCCACACCAGGCTCCGTGACCCTATCAACCCCATCGTCGCCTGACTCCACTGGCTTCCCATCACTCAGAGGATACAGTTCAAGATCCTGGTCCTCACCTTCAAATCCCCCTTGCTCCCCACTACCTCTGCGACCTCCTAATCCTCTACCAATCTGGCGGTTCCTTCCACTCAGCAGGCCCCTTCTCTCCTAACCCACCATTGGCAGGTGGGCCTTTAGCCACTCTGCCCCCACCCTCTGGAACGCCATCCCGCAGTCTCGCCACCTCGCCCCCTCCCTTGCCTCCTTCAAGACCTGTCTCAAGACCCTTCTCTTCAACCGCACCTTCAATGAACCTCCTTCCCCCCCCATGCCCTTCAACCTCCCCGATCCCGATTCCCAGCTCGAGTCTGAAACACTGATCGTTGAGCGCCTTGGGACATCCTCCCAACATGAAAAGCACTATACAAATGTAATTTTGTTGTTGTTGTAATTATATAGTGGGACCTAGTTTATAAGCGTTTCATAGGAAGACTAGTTCATTTATTGCATAGTTGACTCCGACCTTTACTTGCACAAAAATATGCCAGATGCCCTTGATTACCACTTTAACTCAGGCATGCTGGCCGGTGCTGAAGAAGCTAAAATAGTTGGCAGTCAGGGTTATCAGGTCGCTACTGATGTCACTTACTGTGTGTGCTACACATGCCTGCCCTGCGCTGGAAGCACCGCTAACTTCCTAAAGTCGTCCATTTTTGCTTGCGCTGTTCTTATGATTCAACTTCTGACATCCTGCACCCAGAGAAGGCGTTATAAGAAGTGGCCCTGCATTGACGTATGTTGTAACCGTCTTTGCTGCTGCTCCTTCAGGGGTAGTGAGGATCAGTCAGTAACCAGATCTGTCTCTTGACCCTGCAGGAAGATGAAGATGCCGTGCAGTTTGCCAACAGGGTCAAAGCAGCCATTGCACAGCAAGGAGGACTTGTGGATCTTTCCTGGTGATTTTTTTTGTGCTGATTTTACTTGAATGTGTGGCTATTTGGAGACTTTGCCTCCTAAAGAATTGCATATTTGAATGATTCCCTTTCCCTGCCTCACCATCACCTCACTCCAACTCTAGGAGGAAAGAAGGGTTTGAGCTGCAGACAGGCTCTCTGATTGCTATCTGTGCTACTCTGACATTGTGTGGAAAGAGATCTGACTCACAGTGCAATGCTCTGCCCCAGAAATCTGCAGAGATGGACTAAATAGGGATGTTTCAACACAAGATACAGATACTTGAGTAGTGGAGGTCTTAATGGGTATGGAGAAAGGACAATTGGCTGCCGGATTTCGCTCACACATTATACAGTCAATTCGCTATACAGTATAATCTGGGATTAAAAGATTTGCCAAGGTGTAATAAACAGATGTGGCTAGTGTGATGGCTTGACTGGCTTTTTCCTGTTTTCCTATGTTCCTATGTGGCAATTGGAGGGGGAGGGGGAACTGGGAGGGGAAGGGAAACTGGGCCCCTATCCTGTGTGTTGTGTTGGCTACTTTCCACAAGGTTCACTATTTAACCGCTGAGAACTGGCAAAACTGTGGAGTCCTGTAGCTCACAAAGGAGAGACGAGGTTTCGATTCCTGGCAGGGCGAAACCTTGGGCAAATTTCCTTACTCCACACGCCTGATAATTATCCCTCGAGGATAAATAAATAATAAATTGGTTACTTCAATCCACAACTGTTTATGGGACACTGCTGTGCGCAATTGGCTGCCGGATTTCGCCCACAAATTATACAGTCAATTCGCTTTACAGTATAATCTGTGAAGCGCTTTGAGACGTCTGGAAGACGTGAAAAGTGCTATATCAAATGCAAGGATTATTATTGTATAAAACTTGCATGTGTTACTAGTATTCGCTCGTTCAAAAGGAATTTGGACAATATTTCTAAGGGAGAGAGGGTCATCAGAATGCAAGTCTAATCTGCTGTGATGCTGACTGCAGTGTTGTAGAGTAAATGGGATATTGAGCAATAATATAATAATCATCCTTGCATTTGATGTAGCACATTATCATGTCGTTGAGACATCTCAAAACGATTCACAGGATACACAGTAAAGTGTAGTGACTGTGTGTTTTGTGGGTGAGGTGGAGTAGAGATTCTCCTGGGAGTGAACCTGATGGATCTCTGGGCCTTTCTTCACTTGTTTCTGTCTAATTTGTGTATATTAATATACAGTGTGTAGCTCACTGAACAAGTTGAGTGAGCTTGAGGGATGGGCATCTTCAACAAAATCTCACTAGTTCGAAGTTTGGAATGAACTAGTCACCTGGTGGAACAAGTGAGCTACTATTTGTGCAGGAAACTCTTTGTGTGTGCGTGCGTGTGCGTGTGTGTGCATGTGTTGAAACCTAAACTTTGTGTTGAAATGATTATTTGAACTCCTCACCAAGTTTACACTACCTTCAACGTTCACCCTGCTGTGCAACTGGGTGACAGTACCAGTTAATCGTGACTGCCAAACGCACTTATCTGCATATTTTTAAACTATGCACTGATAGCTGTATATCAAACTGTAACCCTATGAAGAATAATCCGTGGGGAGTAATTCCACCCAGGTCTGTATTTCCTCATATTTCTGTAGGATTTCAGAGCCTCTAGAATTTAGTGAGTTGTTAAACTCACCCTTAACTTTGCAGCTGATTTTCTGTAGTTCTTAAAGAGAACTTGCAGAAAAACAGCTTCACAATTAAGATAATATTTAAGAATTTGTCAAATTCTGAAATGCGGTTTGGAGTGACATATACAGGATTTAATTCCAGTGCCCATTGTGGAGCCCTTATTGAGGACTTCCGTTGTAAATCATTGTAAGGGCAGCCTCGAGGATAATGTAGACAGAGCTGTAATTTAGGGACCAGGAGCTAGGTTTGCTATTCTGAGCCGGGGCTACATGGAGAGGATAAATTGAACCCAGTCTGCCCTGAGTTAGGGAGGAGAACACCAACCAGAGTTCCTGTTGCTCGTCCCTGGAGTGGTAATGCATGTGTGTGGCAGATGGTTGAGGAGAGGTCCTGCTCGGCTGTGACGCCCTCTGCTGTTGAGTAATTTGCCGACACTCGCTGTCATTTCTCACACATGGCCACTCAGGGGTAACCGGTGTCTGTGGATCTTTTTTAAAAAAATATATTTACTTATAAACATAATATTTATTACAACAGAAATCCAAAACACAACATCTTCTATTACAATTTTTTCCTTTTCTCCCAATATAAAGCACATTCTGTTGTTTACGGTACGTTCCTTCACCACACGTAGGTTGTGGACACGTTTTTTGGGGCCGCCCCATTGACACGGTCGGGAGTCGCCCCTGTATACACCACATCCATGTGCGCGTTCGCACACCCTGATAAGGCACACTTGCCGCACCGTACACACGTTTACCGTACATACATTTTTGGGACGCTCTTTGGTTACATCTCGAGTGTCCTTCTGTACCCTTACCGAGGAAAAGTAGGCCAGAGCAGGAACAGAGAGGCATAGACCAGTGGGGAGAACATTAGATAATAATTGAATACACTTAAAATTATATATGAATAGATCACAACAATTTGCAGAACTCGTATTGTCCCGAGGTTTAAGACGTGATGTGACTGACGACGTGTGTGAAACTCAGCAGCTGAAGGCCAAAGTATGAATATGGGAGTTAAACCTGTGGGGAAACTCGAGCCTTTGTGAGCTACCAATCCCCAGGATGGGCCAGTTGCCTGCATTTAAAAGGAAGCTTCCTCACAAATTTGGAGGAGCAATCTCCTGTTCCCAGTACCCAATTGTGCTAAGCAAACAAAGTGCTTCCCACACAGTTTAAGATGGTTCTGTGATCTAATGCATGTATGGCTACCACAAATGTGATTTTACTGTGTATATTTGTGTGTGCTTGGTTCTCTCCTGAATGACTTTCCACTAAATCAGAACCCTCATGTTGTAAGTTATTAGATCGTCGGGGGTTAAACATGCTCTTTCTGTGTTTATTCAGGGATGGAGCATTGAAAAGAGCCAAAGTTAAAGACATCTTCAAGAAACAACAGCAAAAGGACTACAGCAAGATGATAGTGGGGAACGAGAGCAGCTGAAGGGATTCTTGTCACTCGATCTTTTGTCCTCTTGGCTTCTGTCGCAGTCTTATTGTGCGGGTTGGGAGTTTGTTGAGTGTCTCTTTATTTTTGTAATTTTGAGTGCTTTGAGAGCAAAATAGAAAACTGTGTAAATGACAAAACTCCACACGTATTATTTGTAGTATTCTAATAGATCAGTGTGATCTGTTTTTTGTGTTCTCTTAATCTGATATTTCAAGATAGGGACTATCCTCTAATATTTATCCATAAATATTGCGTGTGACTTGTATTGCACAACAATGAATTGATTTTTAAAAAGAAGTTTAAATTTTTATTTGAAAGAAGAGGTGTCTGGGTTCTCAATTGGGCTGCAGTGTTCTTTAGCCTGGATTCCCAGTGCTTCCCTCAGGCTGTTCTGCTGAAAAGAAGAAGCCATAGGGGTTCTGGGAGTTTAGGCTAAGCAAAGAAGCATCATGTTTTAGCACTGAGGCAGAAGGACACCGGTTCAATTCCTGAAGTAGATCTTGAACAGGGTTATTTTGGTGAAAAATAATTTTATGCTTTTTAAATTAATAATTGAAATTAATACAGTTTTAGGTCTTTATCTAAGAGTTTTTAGTTTAGACCTGTTGACGTCAGTGACATAATGACTCAAGGTGACATTTGTTGTACAACCTACTGTGATGTGGAGTTCCAGAATGAATGAATATGAAACTATTATAATTTCAGTTTTTATAATCTCTGAATTCTGTGGGAAAAAAACTTGTTTACAGATGTTCAACTATTGAAACCAAAGTGAATATCCAGCATAAACTTTTATTTTCCAGTAAACTTATCTTAGTTCAGTGTCTCTATCTATGGGTTATAAGCATTCACTCCCTTAAAGTCTAATTGGGTGTGTTGTGTGGAGTGGAAAGTATTTAGATTGAGAATAACAGAGGCCTGAAATTCTTCAGAGTGTAGAATGCAATCTTTAATTCAGACTGAATTTGTAGGCGGGTTTTTTGCAATTCCTTTTACGGTCCCTTTAAAACCCGTGGAAAATCAGCTTTCAAATTAAGACTGAATTTGACTAAACGTTTTATGAAATTTTTCAGAATGTTAAGTTTTAAGACAATGGTCTTAAGCTTAAAAATGTGAGATGTCAGGCCTCAGGTAAGCTTTGGTGTGATACCATGTATATAACAAGTATATGTGACCATATGGGCTTGAATAGGTTTTCCTCATCTCAAGCTTCCTTTTGTATGTCCTTATGGGGATTTATACCAAATTGAGTCGATGAGCTATTTAATTTTACTACGGTAAAACTCACTTAAGTCTGATCTGTATAATCACCTAAGTCGTACATCTGCCCAAGTCCTGTTCAAGAGTTTATATTCTATGCAAGTTTGACAAAACTCATACTTTGCATAAGTCATATTAAATGTATAGTCGCAACTGATACAACTTATGTGATTGAGGTTTACTGTATCATCCTGTGGACCCCCTGCAATGTTTTATTCATGGATTAGATCAATTATTTTAGTAGTAAAACATGGGTTTAGGCAACAGGTAAGCTGCCTGCCTTTGTATAGACGCTTGATCCTATTGGGAAAAGATGCTCTTGTTGGTCCACAGAACTATCACCATCTGGGAAACATTAGGAGTGAGATTTACTATCAAATCATGAAACCCACTTAAATTGTGGAATGGGTTATTTTTTGGACCAACAATATTTGTGATGGAGCCAACTTTAGCTTATTGAGTAAACCTTGACAGGCCATTCTTGTGAGCAGTGCCAACAATTGGGAGTGACTCACAGACTGTGAAACCACTGGCTGCATCTTATTTAGGTCTTTTTACACCGATCTTCATTGGCTACTTCCAGGATCATTGCTTGAGTATATTAACATGACTGTACTTACTAACACAATGTTGCCTATTCTGACATTGAGAATGCTTTGTAATGGACATGGGAAGAGAGGGATGGATTTGTTCTGATATGTTGGGAGTCAGTAGTAATGTCAGATGATGGTGTGTAAATTGGGAAGAGGGCAGTCAGGTATTCAATTAGGAATACGTGGAAAGATGTGATGGTTCGTAGCAGGTTTGCTAACCCATTCTAAAATTAGTGAATCTGATAGATGTTACATTTTTCATCCCAATATCCTGACTCGAGGATGGACTTGATGTTGTGTTTCTTTCAATGACTCAGAGGTAAAGCCACTGCCTATATTGTGTAGCTGAGCTGTACAGACCAAGAGGCAAGGGCTTGGGTTTGAATCGTAGCCATAGCAGCTTCGGCTAAATGCCATACTGGGAAACCCAGGGGAATGCAGAGAAATTGCTTACAAAGTGGGAATGAGGAAGAGGTTTATGCTGGCAGCCAAAGTGCCAGCATAAACCATTGATCTTTTCAGTTCCTATACTTAAACTGTCATGAATCACTGGGAGCCGGGCATTCACAACCAAACATTAGTCAAGTAGGACAGTTCTGTGCTTTACACAAACTTGTGTCACTGATCTGTTTTTGAATTGTTAGTCACATGAGAAGATAGGTTACAACTGGAGCTGGGCAAAGCCTTATTGCTTTAATGACTCATTCAGCAATGTACTCATGTAAATCCCAAGTCCGCTAAGGATACTCTTTGAATGCTGCGGAGCTGCTTCTGATATTGGAAGACATTGTTACCTTCGTCCTCTGCTTATTGTCAACAGGTTCCTGGGATATTAGGTAACTCGATAGGTTAAATGTAGTTGAAATAATGCACTGCTTTTCAACGATGTTTCCAATTGATGTCAACGAATGAATTACCTTGAAAATAAGTTATTACAAAGAAATAATAAAAAGACACTTGTAAGTCTTTGGGCAAAGCAGCTATTCAAATAAATTCCTGTTCTTTCATTAAGACACAGCCTATTCAGGCATATTATTTGTTCTAGGAGTTGTGTGATTGTAGACTGAAATCTAGTCTGGAAACTCAAATTCCAGAGTTTGCAAAAATATTTAGCCTGTGAGGGCCTTAATGATTCCCTGCAAAGGAGTTAGAAGCCTTGTAATTTGAAAGGTTAATTCATCCATGATGCTCCAGTCTTGTGATCCATCCTTATCTGATGTCCTGTAGCTCAGTGGCCTTGCAAGTGAGACACCTGGGTTCAATTCCAGGTAGACATTGCCCACAAATATACAGTCAATTCACTTTACAGCATATTCTGTGAAGCATTTTGAGATGTCTAGAAGATGTGAAAAGTGCTATGTCAAATAGGAAGGTAAGTTGGGTCTGCATAAGAAGGTGATAGGAAGGTAAGTTGGGTCTGCATGGAGTTGAATTGGCTCCAAAGTTAAGTGGCCCGGCAATGGAATGTAGAAATCTTGTCTGGTTCCTGAGCCAAGCGGCTTCTTTATACTCCAGAGCACTGCTAATGACAACCCAGCCAAGTCTGGCACATTGGTAGGACTTGGAAGGGCAGACCAGTTACTGGGGCAGAAAATCATCCCACTCAACTCCTGTTAATCATGTAAATCAAAGCCCTAATGACTAGGAGAGTCCTAGCAAGATAAGCAGTGGTAAAGCTTGCCAGACAGTGCTATTAATGGCAAGCTATCTGGTTTTAGCTGGTTAAACTCCAGCTGTACCCCAACGTGCATTCTGGAGCCTCCAGGCTTTGGCTCTTGTCAGCCTGCACCTAATATTCTTAGGAATTGGGTAAGCAGGATGCGTCCCTCTATGGAGAGAGTGTGTATTCCATTCCAGACACAACAACAACAACAAAATTGTATTTATAGAGCGCCTTTCACGTTGGGAGGACGTCCCAAAGCGCTGAACAGTCAGGTGTCGGGGCCCGAGCATGGAGGAGGGGTGGTGTAGGGGTGAGGGAAGGCAGAGAGGTGGGAAGGAGACCAAAGGCATGATCGAAGAGAAGGGTCTTGAGACCGGCCTTGAAGGAGACAAGGGAGGAAGCGAGGCGAAGCGACCGTGGGATGGAGTTCCAGAGTGTGGGGGCAGAGAGGCTGAAAGTCTGGCCACCGATGATAGGGCGGGTCGGGCAGGAGACATGCCCGCTGAATGGAGGGTGCGGGCAGGTTGGTAGGGAGTCAGCAGGTCAGAGAGGTAGGAGGGGGCAAGGCCATGGATGGCCTTCAAGGTGAGGACGAGGATTTTGAACTCGATCCCCTAGGGGATGGGGAGGCAGTGGAGTCGGGCGAGGGTGGGAGTGATGGAGTCACGGAGCCTGGTGCGTGAGAGTACACGAGCTGCAGAGTTTTGGATGATCTGCAGCTTGTGAAGGGAAGAGTTGGGAAGGCCGATGAGGAAGGAGTTCTTGAGGTGACGAATGCGTAGGTGAGGGTTTCGCAGCCTGAGGGGTGAGACAGTGGCGGAGTCTGGCAATGTTGCGTAGGCAGTGCCAGTCATGGTGTGGATGTGGGGGAGAAAGGACAGTTCAGGGTCAAACGAGACACCCAGGTTCCTGACTGGTTTAGTGAGGTTGAGTGTGCAGGCGTGGAGGCTGATACTGCCAGCGCCTGAGGTCTTGCTGACATTGAGTTGGTGAAAGTTGAAGAAAGACACGGTGAAGTTTCTATGGATGGGTAGGTGGTGTATCGCGACCACATTACTCCCACCCTCGCTCGCCTCCACTGGCTTCCCATCCCCTAGAGGATTGAATTCAAGATCCTCACCTACACCTCACGGCCTTGCTCCCTCCTACCTCTCCGACCAACTATCCTCCTACTTACCTGCCCGTAACCTCCGTTCCTCTGGCTCCTGTCTGCTCCACATCCCCCGCCCCAACCGCCCTACCATCGGTGGCCAGGCCTTCAGCCTCTCAGCCCCTAGGCTCTGGAACTCCATCCCGCAGTGCCTTCGCCGCCTCCTCCCTTTCCTCCTTCAAGGCCGGTCTCAAGACCTTTGACCGTACCTTCAGCTTCCCTCTCGACTCTCTACCCCCTCCTCGCTCCCTCCCTCCCCTCCCCTCACCCTGACCATTTCCCCCCTGCTCGGGTCCTGACCCAACTGTCCAGCGCCTTGGGCATCCTCCCGACATGAAAGGCGCTCTACAAATGAAATGTTGTTGTTGTTGTACCTAGATGGTTTGGATAATCATAAATACTGTGATAGGTTTCTGCAAGTATTAGACATCTGGCTGATTTAGGGGGAAAAAATGCAGTTTCACAAGCTAAGTTTGAAGGATGGTGAGATGATGGTGTGGTGTCATTCTCGTGGCTAGTGATATCTGACTGACTGCTTTAGATAAGTTTTTGTCTTTGTGATGAACAGTCACATCACAAGTCAAGTCACATTTTTCTCCTCCGGAGCGTAAAACGTACTCGGTTTTATTTTGGCGGTTTGGACCCGAAGCTTGATTTATTGCCTTGGAATTTCCTTCGACCTTTATGCCTGTGTTTCTCAAACCCACGGGAGAATGGGTTAGTTGAAGGATGAGATCCAGCCATTGAGACCGAGGTTACCTTCACAAAGCACTAAGACGTCAGCGCTGCAGACAATGGTGTGATCTAAGCAGACACCTTGATTGGATTGCAGCTCTTCTATCGGCCCCTGCCTTTAGCTCGGGGCAGATAGATCACCACTGACCAGTCTGCTTTCAGAAGCAACTCATTTGACTTGAATTGAGTCGTCGTTCTGTCCCGCAGGGGGCCTGGTTCCTATTAGTTTCTCTATATTGTCTCTCTATAGTGTGCCCTTCACTGATGTGCTTTCCTGTTCTGTCTGACTCCTGTGCATCAAAATCGCTGGTCCAGTAATCACTGTTATTAAACCATAAATCACAACACAGGAATGTGATTTCATGGCGGTCTACCTATAGGCAAAGGCTGCCATCTGGTGGTTACT